GAATTTTGAATAATGCATGGCTGCAACCTGCTTAGTTATAATATATGATTATGACAGCAAAGATCGTGAACTCTGAATTTTTATAGTAATCGAGATGCGTTATTTTTATGAGAATTCTGTTGTTTTTCCACATTTTCCATAGCTGTGACATGCTGAGATATAATACAGGATTAAGAGAAGATTGTGGAACATTGAATTTCGTGCTAATTTAGTAGCATTATTTTTGCAAAGATCCTATTGCTTTTTTCACGTATTTAATTTTTTAACGGTAGAATAGAATTTTGGTTAGTGCACAGCTGCGATGTGCTGAGTTGTAATACACAATTATGACAGAAAAGATCGTGGAACTCTGAATTTTATGGTAATCGAGGTGTGTTATTTTTGTGAAAATCCTATTGCTTCTTTCCAGTATTTAATTTCTTAATGGTAGAATAGAATTTTGGATAGTGCATGTCTGAGGTGTGCTGAGTTGTAATACGTGATTATGACAGGAAAGTTCGTGGAATTCTGAATCTCGTGCTAATCTAGTAGCGTTATTTTTGTGAAGCTCCTACTATTTTTCTCGCGTATTCGACTTCCTAATCGTGGAATAGAATTTTGGATAGTGCATGGCTGACGTGTGCTAAGTTATAGTACACGATTATGACAGTGAAGATCATGGAACTCTGAATTTTCTGGTAATCGAGGAGTGTTATTTTCATAAAGATCCTATTGTCTTTCTCCCATATTTAATTTCTTAATTGTAGGATAGAATTTTGAATAGTGCATGACTGCGACATGCTGAGATATAATACACGATTATGATAGAAAATATCGTGGAACTCTGAATTTCGTGCTAATCTAGTGGCGTTATTTTTATGAAAATCCTACTGTTTTTCTCCCGTATTTAATTTCTTAATTGTGGAATAGAATTTTGGATAGTGCATGGCTGAGACGTGCTAAGTTATAATACACGATTATGACAAAAAAGATCGTGGAACTCTGAATTTTATAATAATTGGAAAGCGTTATTTTTGTAAAGATTCCATTGTTTTTCTCCCGTATTTAATTTCTTGATTGTGCAATAAAATTTTGAATAGTGCATGGCTGTGACGTGCAAAATTATAATACACGATTATGGCAGAAAACAAAAGCGAATGGAAATAAGCGAGATAAAAGGTTTGAAATTTTATATCGGTTTATATAGGCTCCATAAGAAAAATTCGAGGAATATATTTCTGTAATTTAATTACACGGTCCGAGGCAGAATGTGGGTTTTTTATTTTGATCAATCAATTGTTTCGTTGAATTATTTATTCTTTTTCTTTATACGTAATCGTATATAAATGTCTGTATAAAATATGAAAATGGAATAACGTGGAACTAAAGAACTAAATATATCGAACATGAATAAATCGATTGGCATTTACGATCATCTTCGCGACGAAGGTAACGTCACGTGTGATCTTTTCGTTCACGTAAATCGATCGATGATAAATCGAACGGGTGACAACAGATTTATAGAGCAATGTTTTATAGCTATCGTATCCTTCCAGGAACCTGGGCTAAATTTTTCTCAGGAATCTACTAATCATTTTCTCGTTGAGTACACCTAACGGGCAATACCTGTGTCTGATATCCTACATCGAGCACGTCTATCAGTGAGACATGTCAGACTTTGAACAGACTTTTTGCCAATTTTATATAAAATATAAAATCGTATTATCTCTCGTCCAACTATCCACGACAAATCAATTAATACTCCCCAAAATTTGGAATTTCTCTATCAACTAATTTCCTTTATTAGCATAATAAAGCTGTACATCCCCCGAAAATCGGAAAAGACTATTTTCGGAGGGGTATAGGAACTAGCCAACATGATACTACATTTTTCAATTATTCGAAATAAATATTTCGTATTATCTCGTCCACCTATCCACGACAAATCAATTAATACTCCACAAAATTTCGAACTCCTCGATCACCTAATTTCCTTCATCCCTTTGGGGCACATTAAGATTAAAAGTGTCCCACCTTTTTGATGCACCGTAATGCATGCTGGGAGATTTTTATGTTTTTACATTATGCGATTCCTTTGTTAGTAAAAATATACAAATTTTATACCGATATAAAAATTTCTATGCAACATGGGTCTATCTTATTATCTGAAATCCTGTGCCGCAAAGAGTTATTCGCATAATAAAGCTGTATATCCCTCGAATATCGAAGAACACTATTCTAGGAAGGTTATCTGAACTAGCCAACATACTATTACATTTTTCAATTATTTAAAATAAATATTTCCGCGGAGTCGATGTGGTAGTGTCGATAATTTTTGCAAATATCTCGGAAATTAAGAACAAGCGACAATTATTGTTCAGATAAAAGGTGTTCAGAATCTCTTCCTCTACAACGCGTTAAAAAATCATAGTGATCGACATTCACATAGGTAATACGTACATAGGTAAAATTCTGCAGTTTTTAACAATTTTATGATTTTTGTCGAAAAATTAGTAAAAGCACATTACTTTTTCAAGCTCCCCCGATGTATACATCTTATTGAGACACAAATAAAGCCTTTTGTGAAAAAAAGCTAAATTGCATATTTACCGATATTTCGTATTATCCACCTATTATCCACCTATCCACGACAAATCGATTAACGCTGCCCAAAATTTGGAATCCTTCGATCAACTAATTTCCTTTATTAGCATAATAAAGCTGTACATCCCCGAATCTCGGAGAAGACTATTCTCGGAAGGGTATCTGAAGCGGGCAACATAATACTACATTTTTCAACAGCCATTTCTCAAACACACCGCCGCGTGTTCCACCGTCAGCGAAACGTTCTCCAGTGGGCTTTCTCGGTAATTAGATTTTCAGGCTCGCGTCGCAGGATCAGAAATCATCGCGGGCTTGGTGGGCAGGGCAAGAGATGGAAAGAAAAGCTCTGCCAAACGGCGAGGCAAGCCGAGCCAGCGAAAGTTTCGCTCGATTGGCCGTGCGTCGGCTCGTCCTTCTCGTCTGTATAGAGCAGGGCGTCCGAAACTGCCCTGTCTCGACGCCGCTGCTCCCGGGGCTCCTCTATACGCATCCTTCCCTCTGATCTCCTTCCTCCTGTTCCCCTCGCGCACCGTCCATCCTGGCGTCCCTTAACCCAAACCATTATCCGTATACCACGATTATAGGGCAACGGGACCGACAAACAGGCTTGGGCCAGACCCCCTGGCACCCTGGTCGCAACTTCGCCTCCCTCTTTCCTCTTCTTCTCTTTTCATCCGCCGTTTTCCTCTGCCGGTTGCCGCGCGCTCTCCTACACCGTCACCGACTACGCAAACAAACCCGTACATCGACTAACATAACTTAACAATCTCCTTCTCCCTCCCTCCCACCCTTCCTCCCATTCGCCTCTTTGCTCCTCTCGTCATACTTTCGCCCCCCTCTCTCTCTCACTCTCACGGCCCGTGCACCACTACCAACGCACACGGTCGAGGTTGTTGCTACAACTGATTGCACCGCGATGCACCATGGACTACCACCCAGTATCGGGCGGCGTCGTTGCACGCTCGCCTTCGGGCTGCTCGTTTTCGTCTTTCGGAGAAAACGATGCCACGCATTACACGGACGACGATACTTCTCGCAAATTATTATGGTTCTGCGCTGGCTCTTGATAATTGTTTTTCGGACAGACTTTATGCCCGGACTGGTATACATAATGGTCCACGGCACCGCGTTTTATTTTTACGCTACTTTCGATCGCAGCGTCGCCACTGCCCCTTCGCCGCCTTCCAAACCATACGCCGCCCGCCGCCGGCCAACCAAACAATCCTCTCCACTATATTTTATCTTACACTCGCCATGGGTAGCTTTCGTCCTGCCGATGTAATCGTCGGGACTTGCATCTCTGATCGAGAAATTTTACAGCTCCGTGGATATCTTCGCGATGCGTAACTGAAAACCAAGGGGATTAGAATTGGGAATACGAACGCATAGATAGTTGGCGAAATTTGGTTTTGTGGTGGAAACATATTTGGAAAAATATTTGGGAAAATATTTAGAAAAATATTTGAAAATATATTTGGAAAGATATTTGGAAAAATATTTTGAAAGATATTTAGAAAAATATTTGTTACACTGGCCATTATAGGTTAGGGTTACCTTGCCTGGTAATGTCGCAATGCTCCAATTTTGTTCCTTTCCTTATTTGTTTATCGATAATTTATTACCTCTGTTTATTACCTGTGTGTTTGGAAAGGTAAAGTTGTAATTCCTACGAAATACGTGAAATATAAATCTTCGTTGAGAAGCGTGTGGAATCTCTGGAACGTCTGTTAAAGCCACGCATTATTTCGACATTAATCGAAAGCGCTGGGATTTAACGTTTTATTGCTAGCCTGATTTCTTAAAACAAATAGCATAATTCGAGTATGCGCATTGAGTGCCCATTTTGTTATTTTTTTTCGTGCCAGTAGAATGTCGTAGACGCGTCTATGCAGTTTGCGCAGTTACGAGTCAAACCGGTTTAAAAACCAGTATCGCGAATCCTATTAATGTAAAGAATTTTACTTTTATTTCGAGCCTCTCAAAAAATACCGGGATACGTAGGCTATTTTTTCCACGATAATTTGCAAACGCGACACTTCTACGATACGCTTTCAGCAATATATATAATTTCCCTTGGTCCCGAGCGTGAAATTATCGTAAACGCAATTAAATTCTTATCACAATATGCCCTGGTCTTGTGTACGTTTCGTTTTACACGATAAATTATCGTAATCTAACCGTATTTTATAGAACGAAACGTGTATTACGTTTAACGGGATAGATGTTTTACGAAAAGATACTAGATCCCATTAATTTGCGCTCGGTAATTTATATTCAAATACTAACAATGGCTAAGGCTTGTTCAATTATCCTGTGAGAAATTCTCAGCAGGTGCGATACAGGTGTGCGCTTATCGCGAACACCTACGCGATAGATCGGCCGGTAAAGAAATTCGGTGTTCCCAGAGAGTGGAAATCAGTATCGACGGAAACTTAACCTCTCTTCGTAACGGTACGACGCGGAGAGTCAGTTGCGTACGAAATGTCATGGAAATATCGTAAGAGACCCGTAACGCCAGCTCCGCCGATTTTCGTCGCGTATTAATCTGCCTTACGTAACGAACAGAGTTATATTATTAATAATAACGATAAGATTACTCCCATTTAGTCACTTTGCAACGCGTATTGTACGCGAAACAGCGCGTAACGATGCCTCGGCTTCTGCCGAGAACGAGTGTAGACCACGTACGGACTAGAACGTTCGAACATTAGTTTCCTGAGCCTCAAACAAGCGTACGGACTCACAGTGAAGTGTATCAGTTTTTCAAACCTGCCAGTTCTGTTGCATCTTTGCTACGCTGTATTTGTTCCACGATTTCGTCGCATTGCGTGTCAGTCTACGATTGAAATATGGGCGCTGCTTCGAACGCGACATACTTAGGGCTTGATCTCAGCACGCAGCAGGTAAACGCTTAAAAAACCGCATAATTTCGCGATCTGCTTTTTGCCACGAGTCGAACATCTGCCTCGAACGAATAATCATTGACGAGCAACACGTTTTCTCGTCATAGAAAAATACGTATCATTGACGCGAGACTCGAGTGACAGACTCGCGTATCGAAGCTTCATTTTTCTTCTCCTTTTCTTTTCCCGCAATTTGCCTCCATTTTCGACCTTTTTCATCCTGCTTACGTAACTTCGTGCCCTGTGCAAAGGCAATTATTATAATTGGACGATAGTTAGTCACAGAAAATCGACATTTGTTGCTTCGAAGACTAGTTTGTTCTTTTATGGTTTTACGATGCTCTCTTACTGGCTGTCCGTATGCGTTGGCTACTGCGCATGCTCTTAGCAAAGCGCGCTTCTTTCGAATCGATGAAACCTGCGTATTGGTAAAACTGTCATATCGCAAAGAAATAATTGCGAAATTAATTACGAATATGCAAGATTTTGGTTTATTTTTCGAAATTAAGTAAATTACGATCGAGAGAAAATACGTATTGGAGATAAAATCAAGGGAAACGTATGTTTTCCTTTCACTTGTCACGGTATTGATTATCTCTTACTTCTTATGGTACTTGAAAACTATATTACGGGTTACCGTGTTCTCGAACCGAATTTTAGCCTCGCAACGTGGAATCTAAATACCCGCTATATTTTGTTTTCTCAAATTCCAAATATTTGTTGCAGCATACTTTGCCTTATCGCTGTTGGTAAATATTTGAAATCGTACCCACGAGTTTCTAATTATACGATATGCTCGATTAATTATGTAATCTCGTTCGTTAAAGGAATCGATAGTAATGAAATTAAAATTCGTTCTTTCGAAGCAACGAAAAATTTTATTAATTATTTTTTATTATTTATTACGCGTGCACTTTATTTAGTAACGAATTAATAAGAAATTAATCCGCGAAGACAAATTTGCCATTTTCCTTTAAATTGAGAAAAATGCAGCGAATAGTTTATACCAATGTGACACGAAAATTCATCTTGCTTGATTGATACGAGTGTTTCGCAGTGCGGCCGATGGGTCACAATTATCTAACTCGATGATAACATTAAGCAGTTGGACGATACGGGCGAAAGAGAAGTGTATCTCGTTCGCAACGAAAAACGCGGAACACTGGGAGCGGTCGAAACGATAATTGAAATTGCAAAACGTTTCTCGTGCGTCTCTCTGGTAAAAAGGAAAAAGAAAAAGAAAAAAAAAAAAAGAACGATTAATCATAAACGTTGCGTCGTAATGTAATCAATTCGCATCGAACACGATTTTTATCTGCTCATTAACTCAGTTTGACGTAATATTAGTCATCCTTTAAAAATGAAGGAAGAAGTGAATCATAAATTACATATTAATGTAATCGATTCCATCAGACATGATTTTTATCTGCTCATCAACTACGTCTGGCTAAAAATCACCTATTCTTTAAAATCCAAAGATTCGAGATAACGATTATTAGAGTATAAACTATCATCTGTAAGATATATATATAATATATATATATTTGCAATATACATATCGTGTATATAGTTTCATATACTTACATATATATCAGAATATTTTAATATTGCTATAACATTTTTTAACTCGCGTAGTATTTCATTATTAAATTAATTAATATTATTATTATAATTTTTTTTAGTTAAAGTATTGTTAAAATATCTTTAGTCCTGCTTGCAATAGAATAATTAGGTATATATATTTACAATATACATATCGTGCATATAGTTTTATATACTTACATATATATCAGAATATTTTAATATTGCTATAACATTTTTTAACTCGCGTAGTATTTAATTATTAAATTAATTAATATTATTATTATAATTTTTGTTTTGTTAAAGTACTGTTGAAGTGGCTTTAGTCTTGCTTACGATAGAATAATTAGGTATATATATTTACAATATACATATTGTGTATATAATTTTATATATTTATATATATATTAGAATATTTTAATATTGCTATACTATTTTTTTACTCGTGATATATTTCGTGTAGTACTTTTCATTAAATTATTTAATATTATTATTATAATTTTTGTTTCGTTAGAGTATTGTTAAAGTATATTTAATCTTACTTACAATAGAATAATTAGGTATTTGCGTTATCTCTCGAGTACTGTGTTTACTTCCTTCTCAACTTTAGACCATGCATAACCTAAATATTGAAATTAATCTTTATCCATATTAAAAAATTAAAAATTAAAAATTTTCCAAAAATTCGAATTTCCTTGTTTTGCATATTATTATAAAGAATTTGCTTTGCATTACAATTCATCTAGCTAATTCTTGGAAATTTCCTGTATAACGTGTATAACTTATTCCATATTCCATAATGATCTTGGTTAATGATACCTGTCTATTTAAGTACTTGATTTCGTACTTACTGACTTGATTTCGTGTCTTACATACTTCACGATTCTTGCACAGTTTTAACCTCACGGTTGCAGTATTTTCGAATGCTTTTCGCTTTATTAAGCATGGTCAACGGTATATCAAACGTTACCTGTATGCATATTCATACGACTGGAAGAAAAATGTCATTCGGTACTTTAGATTTTGCATTAAACTTCGAATTACGTTAGAGTGCAGTGTAAATAATTGACCACGTGCTGCAAATAGATTTGCTGTTCTCGCATAGAAACCTTAATTCACATAACTTATTCGATTTGAAATATCAAAAATCGAAGAACAGCTCATAAAATCTTGAACTTAACACGCGCCGATTAACAAGTATCTTTTGGTATTTATAGTTGAAAGCAGTTGTCGTTGATAATAATCTCGCCGTTCTCCATGAAACCAGTGTACAATTCGACAATGATCTGCCTGAATTTAGGTACGTCCAATCACTGTTTTCACGCGCATATTTAAATATTAAATATTTTACTGACTTACACATTTTTAGTTTTAGCATATACATTTTTATTCTTAATTTTTCTTATCACTATTAAATCTAATTTCAACTTAATTTTCCTCATAAAATTGTTAACATAATTGTATTATCGAACAACTTATGATATCAAGATTATTAATATTAGAAATTAGAAGTAAAGAATTAATAAAATGTTCATTTAATCTAAACTACGTCTTCAATTGGTTACTTTGATACATAGGGTCATTGTTTTAAACACTTGGTGTATTAAAAATTGATTTATTAAAATGATCAAAAATTGTCACAGTAAAAATTTTTGTGAATGTCTAATTATATTAATTAAATATGATAATTTTCACCAATATTTTAGTCCCTGTGCAGAAATTTGATATCTCTGTAATAGGTTTAATTTAATAATCAAGCATTCGACAATTTTAGAACGTATGGAGGTGTCATTCAGAAAAAAGGAGATCCGCACGTGGTCGTGGTTCCCACTTTAATGTGGGTTAAGGCTCTGGACATGATCCTTGATAAGTTGCGCGTGTGTGGCGTTGATTTTAGCAGGGTGGCCGCCATTTCCGGATGCGCACAGGTAAAGAATAAAAAGATATATTTTAAACAAGTCGGTTGTAATAGAAACGTCACGATTCGTAAATTATAACACGGATGGTAAATATCTTACCAGTTTCTTCCACAGGAATTAAGCTTCGCCACAAAACGCTATGTAGCATTACCAAAGCGATAAATCTGGAAAAAAAATTCTATGTAATATTCATATATTTTAATTATCATCTTAAAACTTAAAGGATAAGTAAATTCGTTGTTTCCCGATCGTTTAAATGCAACAACGGACCGTGGGTTTATCGGCATAAACGATTTAACTATAAAAACAGTCGATTAGCATAAAATCGAGTTTTAATGACTCTTATTTATTTCTTTTTTTCGTTCCTCCACGCAAACAAATCGTTTACCTCCGTTTTCGTGGATTTCGATATCGTTAATGTAAGATTTAATTTGTTTGCGTTCTAAACGAAAATAAATTCAAGACCGATGGTAAATAATTAAAAAAACGTAATCAGAGGCCAAGATTCCTTTTGTTTCGGTAAACGTGTATCGAAAGAAAATTTCGCAACAGCGCGACCCCTATAAACACGAACATTTTGTCCGCTTCGAAAAAAACACACACGATAATGTTATCTTCGTTCATTATTACATAGCAACATGGCACAGTTTACTGGGGCAAGGGCAGTCGAAATCAGCTGCAGCATTTGGATCCTGCGAAATTCTTGCACGGACAGCTGGTCACTTCGTTCTCGGTGACGCTGTCGCCTGTATGGATGGACTCCAGTACCACCAAAGAGTGTAAAATCTTGGAAGAAATCGTGGGTGGCCCTAAAGTACGCATTCTCATCCTCCCCTACAAATAACATCGATATTATTACACGTTCCTTTCATTAAACTCGAGCGAAAGACCGAAACGCGTTTTCCCATTTTAAATTTCGCGCCAACGTCTATAAAGATTTGTTTTCATCTACCGCGAGTGTTTTTCGTACATACGATCGAAAACTTTTTTTTCGTAACGCGAGCCATTCTTTAGAAATTCCCAGGTTCGATTCGCATGAATATTCATTCGCGTGAAAGAATTAATTTGCAATTTGCATACCTCGCAAGTTTCGCGACTACGCATTTTTTCTCCGTGGCTCCCGATCGTATCTGTTCGGGATATATTTTTTCCCCCAGACGTGCGTCGACGCTTGACAAAGTCGAAAACGGAAAGATGGAAAAGGATCCCAGGTACCGTTCCGTTGTCCACACGGTATTTTTAGATACGTTAAAAACTCGACGCCAGTCCAATGTTGACCTTCGCGGCAATTAATTCAATATTTTATTGATCTTATCGGTCGTCGCTCGCCGAACGAAATTGCCCGATTAATAGGCGCCCGAACGGACCGTCGCCGTGACATCTCGCGTCGATGCCGCCATGTAACGTTACATTGCGCGTTAGTTACGCATAGCGCCGACAGAGGGTCCTGGCGGCGACGACGCGAGTCAAACTGATTCATAATTAATCGACAGGCACGATTAATACGCTAATCAATTATCGTTATACCGATCTGTCGCTGTGCCTGATTGCAGAAATTGGCGGAGATAACGGGATCACGGGCGTATGAAAGGTTCTCAGGACCTGAGATCGCAAAAATAGCACGCACCAGGCCGGAAGCCTACGGCAACACTGAGGTATATCAACTAAAAACTACACTGCCGGCTTCGTTGAAAATTATTCGGGACGGCAATCGACCGAGGTACTCGATATGTGTGGACTCGTCACGCGGGTTCAGACCAGTGCATTATTTCCGATTTCTGTCTAAGCTTCCGGCGAACCGTGGCTTTCGTAGAAACGCTAACGTACTCGATAACAACCGATTACTAGCCTCTTTGAATTGTTACCCTTTAATAGATACCGTCTAACTCGATGTCACTTCTACTTATCGTTCTTCTTGCGATTATGGAAAAATTGCTGCCTTTTCAGGTTGTCAGCGAATGTTTAAATACATCTATAATCCTTAAAAAATTTCTATCGACGATATTCTGACAACTATCGTATAATTAAATCTAATAACGGTAGTATAATAAATATTATCTACTAAATATTATTTTCTAGTATTAATCAAACTAATTACAGTTCATATTACCGATCGAGAATTATTCCATTCGAAAAACTATTCGAAAGGGTAAAGTATGCATTTCAGTTACTCGAAAGTAGCGCCATTTTTAAAATTCTTTAAGAGATTCGAATACATTTAATAACAAAAAGCTTCGATTTTTCGAATTTTAAATAATTAAAATTATTAAAATTGACAGAAAATTTAATTTAGCTTTAAATACAATTTATCGACTTGGTGAAAATATTCAAATTTGCTCGATAGATTGTAACAGTTATTTTTCTATGTTCGCAATAACAACGATTTCTACTGTTTAGTTCTTTATTTACTTCGATCGACTTTATCGATTATACTGAGAAATATATCAGTAATTGCCTGCTTAGAATATTTTCAGAGAATGCTCCTCTTAACATATTGAGAAATTTACAAAAATATCTAACGTAAATAGTATAATGGGTATGCGATAATATATTCGCCACTAATACGCATTTTATAGAATAGTGAACTAAAATCCTATAACCGTTCGTTCGCGCTAACTCGTTTTTGGCATTTCTTTCAGAGAATCTCATTGATCAGCAGCTTTCTCGCTTCCCTGTTTCTGGGCGATTTCGCGCCCATTGATTGGTCGGATGGCTCCGGAATGAACTTGTTAAATATTCATACGAAAGACTGGGATGACGTCTTGTTAGAGGTAGATTATCGCCGATTGGTTATTAGATTTCCAGCGGGTATGGTAAAATATGATACAATAAAACGTTCGTATTCGGAGATAAAAATAGCCGTTCCTTGAACATTTCCAAGATAATTTTCAAGCTAAGTATGACATTACGCAAAATTATTCGCTAATCACCGGAATGAATTTTACGAACTCCTAAATGTTTTCACCGTTCTAGAGTTCAAGCTGTTTGCCAGGGTATCAACTTGCAAATTCGTATCTTCGTGAGTGAAAAAATTCGAAGATCCTTAAAAACGCAAATATCGGCAAATTTATATTAACCTCTAAGTATTATATCAAAATTCCAGCGTATATTACAAAAATGGAGAATATAAACCGAGAAATTGGTAAAAAAATTTCCTTCGTCAAGGTGAACGGAATACAAACGTTCGAAATTTCATCAAATTTATGCTAATAAGTTCATACTCGATTACAAATGTTAATTTGTAGCCGGCTAATTGAATATGGCAAATCGGTCGAGGAATTAATTAAAGAGTATCTTTTACTTTTAGTACGTATACCACTCTGTACACTTTGATCTTTCAATATTTATTATTGCCATTTGTCCAGGCTTGTGGTCCTGGTTTACGAGAAAAACTCGGAAAACCAGTTTCCTCGTGCAGCAATATCGGTGCAATTTCGTCCTATTTCGTCGAGAGATTCGGCTTCGACGAGGCATGCCGGATAATTGCGTTCACGGGCGACAATTCAGGTTCTCTAATAGGTAAGCGAGCCAGTCGCTGATCTTACGGTTTTGGCCACGAATAATTTTCGTCGGGTCTATGGTATTAATTTATACGCACTACTTCGCCTTTTGACAACAAGTTTCGATTCCGCGAGTACCGAACGGCCTCATGAATATTCAGGCGTATAGGTTTCCAATTGGCGCGCGTAGATACACCATAGACTTTCGCTCCCCATACGGAATGACTAATGAGATTTTTCGTGCAAACTATAATTTGCGACTTACTCTTAAGGAAACTGTTGGATGGATTCTCAATCGCTTGATACTTAATTGACCCAACGATACACTATTTTAAATTAAAATTTTTATTCCCTTTATCTTTTATGTATACATTTTATTTGTAAAATAGAAATTAAACGTTTCCTTGATATTATTGTGATAATTTAATTGTATATAATTGTTTAGTTATTATTTGTAAATATCGTCGCGATATTTGAAACTGTATTTAAATTTTTACTTTACTTTTCTACTTTAATTTATTTATTTTTAATTTCTACTTTAATTTTTACTTTAGTCAAAATCGTTTAGGGTATTACATAAATTCTGATATGTGCACCTGTGTAAGATTTGAATAATTATTATCACATTTTTATTATTCATAAAGCGAAAATGGAAACTTAGTATGGAACACGTGGAAAAGTCGTTTTAATTGATTTCTTCTTTTCTTAAAAGTTTAGTAATTACATTCTAAAGTGCGATCGTAAAAATGACGTCGCCTAAAATCAGTCCCTCGTTAAAACGAGTCTTTTGAGAAACTGCCTTTTACGCCAGAATATACATAAATGCAAATTTCTTTAGACCGGTTTCTTTTACGTTGGTATACAGTACGGTAAAATAGTTTAACAAATTGCAACAAGTTTAATGGAGTGTAAAATATGTAGTAATTCAATTTGAACAAGAATACGTATAAATGTATCCTAAAGTTTTGTGTAAAATTTATTCTGACTTTAAGCTATTTTTACATTATCATTACATTATTATGTAGGGATGAGATTGAAGGAAGGAGACATAGCATGCAGCTTGGGTACAAGTGACACTTTGTTTTTGTGGCTGAACAAACCAGAAACTGTTCTAGAAGGACATGTCTTTTGCAATCCTCTTGATGATGAATCTTACATGGCACTACTTTGGTAATTTCATCTTTTATTTTTAAATTCTTTTATCCTGTTATTTGGATAATTTTTTAAACGACCATTTAAATGATATTAAAATTATTTAAATTATTTATAAATTTTGGAACTAAAATAAATTGTAAATTTTCAGCTTCAAGAACGGATCACTGACTCGTGAAAGAATACGGGATAGCGCGGCACAAGGTTCTTGGCAGATCTTCAACGAATTACTGGAAAGTACTCCACGGGGTAATTTTGGGAATTTAGGTTTATACTTCGACGCACAAGAAATTTTGCCATTTGTCATTGGCGATCATCGATTCAACAAAGCGAACGACGAGATATCGCGTTACAGCTCCAAAGAGGTTGAAGTGAGAGCTTTGATCGAGGGACAATTCGTTGCGAAAAGAGCTCACGCTGAGGATTTTGGTTTCGTGATTGGTAAAAGAAATATAGAAATTTCTCTATTTATTTTCTTATATTTCTGCTACATTTAGTAATTATGGAAATCGTAAACTTTAACGAATAAAACTTAGTTTTAATTTATTTCAAACTTGATAGTTACAATAAAACATATATTAATAAATTCACGACGTGTATTATTAAAAATCATATTTATTTTGCTATTTTATTTATAGGTCCAAATACACGTATTATTGCGACAGGAGGTGCGTCTACAAATAAAGCTATACTGCAAGTACTCTCTGATGTTTTTAATTCACCGGTATATATATCGGTAAATTTCTATTTCTATTAAATTTCTAGCAATTTTTATCTTCTTAATATATTTCTCTTTGTATGTAAATGTTTACTTTTTGAACTTCATGTATTAGTCCTTCATTCTATGAGAGTGTATTTATGAATATCTTGTAATTCCATTGAACAGGAAGTAGCTAATTCTGCTATGATGGGTGCAGCCTATCAAGCAAAACATGTTTTGTTGCAAAACGAATACAACTTTGATGAAATAACACGCTGTTTGCCAGAACCGACACTCGTATGTCGTCCTTATGATGACGCAGATTCAGTAAGTAGTAGTAATATATAACAATTTAATTCTATATTCTATCAATTCAGTCACATTTCTAATTTTTACATCTTCAGATATATAAATCAATGGTTGTGCGTTACCGAAAAATCATAGATCAAATTAAAAACAAAACAAGTACAAAATAAAGTATGTAAACGTCATACGTAATACAAGAGCATTTATGTCTTCGATAATGCATAATATTAGTTAAAAATGTAACAGAACCGTTGTACTTTGAGCGTTTTGTAACTTGATGATATTTACATAGTTCCATTCCAAACGATTTTTATACAATATTTTTGATGCAATTTTTAGAAGTTTGCTTTTAAAATTTGAACGCTGAAAACTTTACTTCGATTTTAACAAACAAATCGAAAATATTTAAAGTATTCGAATAGAATATCATCGTGAATCTCTTATGCAAGATAGAAAAGCAATGCTTTTTTTTTAGAGAAATTAATATGAATCGTTGAAATAGAAGTAAAAATATATCTCAAATATTTTGCAAATGCTGTTTCAATGATTTATTAAATCTAGCTAATTACAAATCACTAATGCCTTAGTGGTAAAAGTACAAGGTAACCTAAGTGCAATTTTTAAAATGAAAACTAAGCTTATGAATAAAATAATTTTATATTTGTATATTTATAAATTTTATTATATTATATATTATTAATTTATTAAATGCTAATTTATATAATTATAGGACAAAAAATTTAAAAATAAAAAAAAATGTTGACTTAAACTGTAAGTTTATTTTATTTGAAGTAATTATAACACTGTTAATGTATTGATGTGTTTTTAAAATCCCTTAGTATAAAACAAATTGATCATTACTTAATGGTGATGTGAAAATGTTGCAACATAATTACATACTTCTCTATTTTACTTTTTCCTACCACCTCTCTCCTTTGGTAGAAGATTGATTACATTGCCAGATGTTAAATTATAATATGCAAGTGTATTGCTATCTTTAAAGAACATCCCCTGAAAAAAATTAATAATCATATATGAAATAAAAAATATTAGAAAAGATATATTGATATTCGTATAATGTTTACTTTTATATCATACCTCGTACTGTAACTTCTGCTTGCCAGGAGGCATACCGGTTTGTTCGTGAATAAGAGCTTTCATTGTTGCTACTGTATCGCTTATTTGCAACGTAATATTTAATGTCTGGCCATTTAACTTCCATTCGGCTTTTTCTGTCATCATTGGTACAGCAATATTTAGTTGAACAGGTCCCTGAGGAAATAAAATACGTATTTTAGTATATATTTGTAATAATTTATTCATAAGTATAAATCTTAAGTACTGATACATTACCTTATTTCTAGCTAAGAACTGTTGTTCTGGTATCAATGAATCTTCAGTTCTTAGTTTCTTAGTCTGAGGTTCTTCCTCCATAGGTTCGGCAGCATGTTTCAATCCAATCTAAAAAAGTAATGTCATGATCCATAAGTGCTTCTATTATAAAGTAATAATCAATACTAATTAATTGAAAGTGGATTTGCACAAACATTACTTTATTTCACAAATACTTACAGCAGACGTCATTGGTGGTTGCATAGGTGGCGGTGTTGGCATAAATGGTGACATTGCTGGTGCTAAAAATATTTAATTTATAATCAAACCATAATACTTGATTCAATACCTAGTAAATACAAAAAAGCTAAGTTAAAAGTTAAAAATTAATTACTTACTCATAAGTGGTGGTGGTCGAATCGGGGGCATAGGAGCCATCATCATCATTGGCGCTTGTGGCATCATCGGCTGAGGTATACCCATAGTAGGCATACTCATAGTAGGAGGAGGTGGTGGTTGTGTTGGAACAGGTACTGGCTTCGGAGCTGGTGGTTTTGGTGGTGCTTTCAATGTAGCTTGAGGTTTTGAAGCAACTGCTGCCATATGCGATAATTCAGCTGCTCGATTAGCAGGTTTCGGACCAATCTTTTCTTTCTCTTCATCCGGCAGAAGTCCCTTAACTTTATGTATCTGATGAATTTGTTCTTCCAGAGTAATATTTGCTCTAGCAGCTCTGGTTGCTGCTTCCACACTTGACGTGTGCCCATCCCACGTAACTTTGTCATCTTTCTTTTTATCTTCTTCTCCAATTTTCTTACCGATAGCAGTTTCTTCGTCACCAACACCGAATATATCAGTACGTCTTTCAGCAAGTTGCTTCAAGCTGGCTTCAATCGCTGTACCAGGAGCAAATACTGTTTCCTGTGCCAATTTATCAAGATGTTTATCTCTTTGCTCCACCCAACGTGGATCCAATAGTCCGATTCGCATATGTTCCTGGACTTTACTCGCTGGTATACGTTCTCCCGTGATGGGAGAGATCAAGTATTCATCAGGAGGAACGGGGCGTGCAGTTTTACTCGCTGTAAAAATATATTACAATATTGTTCCATTCATATATATGATATTTTCATTTCTTTTATTTACCGTGCTGCTTCGGATCATATCCCTTCTTTACTACAACGTTTCCTGGAGTAGGTGGTAATGGTGGAGGTTGCATGTTATTGCTATCACGTGGTTTAGGTTCTTTCGATTTATGAGTATCACCTGGTGGAGATACATCATCTTCATCACTTGAATCCTCTTCCATATCTTGTACCTTACAATATAAATGTTATGAACGTGTAAATTTCTTGTTATTTTGATAAATATATAAAATACTTACTTGATTGTTATCCTTTGCACGATCTTTTTCACCTTCTGTACGACTTTGCATTTCATCTTCTCCTTCACTATCAATTTGCATTTCTACATCTTCACCTTCTTCTATCCTTTCCTACAAATTTAAATATTTAAATTTAAAACATTTAATTTATTCAAACATTTCTTAAATTATTATAATATACAATTCACAGAATTTTATCACCTGCATAAGCACACGAGCACCAACTTCATCTGGTGTTGTTGGCGCTGGAAAATTACCAACTTCAAATTGTTGGTAATCAACAGTTTCAACTACAACAAAATCATGCCAATCAATTTGAGCATAAGCAACTCTTTCGCGCTCCAACTCTTCTTCTTCTTTACGTCTTTGAGCTTCTTGGTACTTTAACCACTCAGCGCGATATTTAACTTGTTCTAAAATCTTATCCATATTAAAAGCCTCATCGCGTAAACGCGGTAGTAAATCTTTAGGTGGAATTAATACCTGTGGATTTTTATTAACTTAAATTAGAAGTTCAAAAAGATTATCTAATGACAGAGAAAAAGAAATATTTGTTCTACCTTAGTATACTGTTCCAACAGTTTTGTAAAATATTGAAATAAGGAATGTTGTGGACGTAAAAAATCAAACTGAAAATTTCTTTGTTCTCTATTCATCAAGTTAGTTAAAAATTGACGACCATTACGAGCTACAAATTGTGCTGTTAATTTTACTATATCCCTAAAATAAAACATTTATTTTATAGTGCATGCTGTTATTTAATTATTAAATAATTAATAATTTAATTAAAACATATACAAATCTAAAGCTGAAATAGAAGGTGGATCAGCAATGAATTCAAATTCTGTAGGTGGATCTTTTGGAATAAATGGTTGTTCAACTTGTTTCAAAATTTCTTGTTGTTTTTGATGAGCAATAAGATTAACTGCTTTTCCAGATCCTGATCCTATAGTAGGTTCTTGACCCTTTCCTTCCTTAAATTCTTTTACTTTATGTTGATAATATGCATGATATGGATCACCAAAATTTAAAAAATTAAACTTTGGGTTTCCCAATTCATTTTGCCTGATTCTTGTCTCAAACTCTGGCCCATTTCTTGCCACAAAACTAGCAGTTTTATCAACGATATCTAAATACTCATATAAGGAAAATTAAATAAATGTCAATGAATAAATAATGAGTAATTTTAATAAAATACAGACATAAATGTAAGTTTATAATTTTTCTTTTTTTTATTTATTTTTAATTATAAGTAATAAAAGCTGTGGAAAATTAACAATATACATAATAATATCTTCTATATAAATATTATAGATATTTTAAACGTAAGTATTATAGCAAATTTTTATTACATTTAATTGATACATTTTTGTAATTTCAAAAATACATTACACTTTATTTTTTTTTAAGAAATATAAATACACTCAAACAAAATATAGATATATCAAATGGAAAATACATAAAAATATTAAAAACAAAATTTTAATCATATATCTTTTTTATGTTACATTTAGTATTATTATTACTTGAATTTGCAATAATTACATAAGGTTTGTCATAACTATTCCAGAATATTGTTTAGAAGTAAGAATAAATATTACACTTTATTGATCTACAAAAGAAATGTTGTCAAAGGATACTTCTAACCTCCGGAGGAGGGTAAATAATACCCACAATCGGCTGAGATGAAGGTGCAGAATTTTCTTCATTTTCAACCGCAGGCGGTTGTATAACAGCTATTTCTTGTGCAGGCATACTGCGAAATATGTCTTTATTCCCTTAACTTTAATAAACTCACTATTTCTTATCATTTATCATATACACATTTCTGAAACGTGACACAATAGTATCCATTTATATTACGATTCACTGGGCACATATAGCATAAAGCCGAATTTCCATGAGAGTAAGAAAATTTAATCAATACATGCAATAACGTAACAAAAAAATTAAAAATGTTCCTAGACAAGTTTTTAAATGTAAACTAATTGTTTCAAATATATTTTAAGTATAGCAGTAAATTATCTTTTTTAACTGTTTGTACAAAATTAAAAACATATTTTATATACTAATATTTATATTGATTCCATTAAATTTATATTATTTGTGTTTAAATAATCATTGTAAAAATAAAATAAATAATAATTTTCTTATATATAAATATCAATTACGTAATATTTATCTAAAACATGTAGAATAATACTAACAGTATTACATATAAATTATTTTTGTTTCTATGAAGGAATATCTTTTAAGTATTTTTGCATAATTTCATATAAACTAATACTACTATTATAGGTATATGTTGGTAAATCAGAAAGAAATTCCATGCTGGTCATAACTCCTTGGTTCCAAGATGTTTTGATAAAACTTGTGATGTCTGTCACACTTGGTAGTTGTGCTATCTAAACAAAAATAATTAACATTGACTTATTTCAACAATCAATAATTCGTGATTTAACATTATAACATTTATTAGCAAAGAATTAATAATAAATTTTCACTTTTTCTTAATATTAAAAGATGAATATGAGATTACCTCTTCAATAATTTCTTTCGGTACATTTTCTTTAACATATGGAGCAACATTTACGCATATTTTTTTATATAATTTAGCAGTTTCCTCTGGTTTCGACCACAATCCTTCCGCATAAGTATAATAGACAACATTACCAACAACCGTGGCTTTTACAAGAAACCTAAGAAGATAACCTTTAATTTAAAATTCAAGATTTTTGTACAAACATATGTGTTTACATCAAAATATCAAAACAAAGCCACATCCTTTATTGTCAAAACTTATACTAACCAGGGTATTTTCATTCTGTAATACCAGTTACTTTGACACAATACCTCTATTACACTTTCGTTTATTATACAGAAACATGAAAATTACGTAAAGCCGCTCAACAATTTCCGGTTCAATTGAAAGTATTTATAGATATCAAATAATATATATATTTCTTTCTAGAACTATCTACATCAAAGCTATTTTATTTATACTATGAAATTAGATATGTAAACTATTTTTTTATAATGTAAAATATTTCTTATGTTGAAGCATAGTAAACATATACATAATTATTATGATTTACGTAGTCGTACAATGTATACAAAACACCAAACCCGTTGATGTAACGTTCAACATTATTTCTGTTTGATTTCTCATATTTATATTATCTATATTTATATTTTAAACATATGGAGCGATACGTTTTCTTATTGACTTTTTTCGAAATGACGAATCTTTGATGTTTATTGTAATTAGACAATGGTTAGGTAACCTTAAAATTATTTGGTATATATGCTACATAATTATTATACAATGTGGCCTCAAGAATTTATAGAGTTGAAGGTAACTGTTTTGTTATTTTGTTTATAGAATTTATTTATGTGAAATATAAATAGATATTATCTTAAGTAATTTCTTTTGTAGCATATAGAAAATTTATTGGTTTGTGGGATATGTTACGAATTCATGGATACATCTGTTATAACATCATGTTCTCATAGCTGTAAGAAAAACTATTTGTTTTTAATATATTAACAGAATATTTTATTTCATTATGTGTTCTTTAAATTTCAGATTGTTCTTTATGTATTAGAAAGTATTTACATTATAAAACACAATGTCCTGTATGTTTTGCAGAGACTTTCGAGAAGGATTTAAGGAAAAATAAAGTGCTTGATGAAATTATAACACATTTTTCACAAATTAAAGATAAATTAAAGAGATCTTTACAAATTCAGATTCAGTTTACAAAATTTAATGAAACTGACTATAAAAATAAAGATGTATATATAAATAAAGAAGAAGATAAAACTGCTTGTAATAAAATTAGTAATAATATTAGTAATATTATTAAAATCAGTAGTAATATTCCTACTTTAAAAAATAACACATCACCATCAATAAATATACATAAAGATGCATCTAGTCCTGGCACAAGTGGGATACATAAAATACCATTAATTTTCACTCCTAAAAGTAGCAAACGCCCAATTACAACAAATTTAGAAGAAAGTAAAGTCGTAATGTGTCCAGTATGTAAAGTTACAGTTTGTGAATTGAATATAAACAGACATCTTGATGATTGTCTGAAAAGAGAATCAATGAAAGAGAAGCCACAAATGTAAGAATAATAAGATTTAAATTGTTTTCATATCTTCTATATCTAAGACTTTTTTAATACATTATTGTGTACTGATATATTCTTACAAAAATTGTTATTTATCATTTATTTCTACAGAACAGCATCAACACGTAAACCATTGCCAAAGTTAGTTTTTAATTTAATGAAAGATGCTGTATTAAAGAAAAAATTAAAAGAATTTGGTTTGCCAACAAACGGGGATCGGAGAGTTTTGGAAACGCGATTACAAAGATATATTGTTCTGTATAATGCAGAATGTGATAAATCTAATCCACGACCGGTTTCAGAATTAATAAAACAATGCGACGAGGAAGAAAATCTCGAGAGAAAAATTAATAAAACGCTTTTCTTAAATGTAAATATGTATATAATTTAAAATTTCTGTTTTATCATCTTTAACATTTGAATTAAATTTATAAAATTATTAATTATTTCAGAAGTTACAAGTGACTAGAAATACAGAACAAAATGTTGTAGAAGAAGAGCGAAAAAAATATTGTAAGTTCCTTAAATGCTTAGGTTTTGTCTATATAATATGTATGATATTTTATGATTGCCTTTATTGTTTTTTTAATCAGTGGAAGCACACAAAGATAGTTTTGAAAGTTTAATTGAGGCAATCAAAAGTGTTGGTTCTTCAAAGAAATCATCAGTACGCCGTAGTTTATTACACGAACGCATTCAAAACAATGAAGAAATTCCACAGAAACGTCAAGTAATAGCTAAAAATTTGGATGATTCAATAATCTGTACTGAAAAAGATAACTCTGTGTCTTTCAATTCTGCTGTATATATTCCAGACTCTGATTCTGATACTTCTTGTCCATTACAAATGTATTCTAGTACTGATCCAAAAGCATTTCTTAATATAGAATTATCTCCTGCTAGTAATGCTTTACGGAGTAAGACTCAAATAAGTGACCAAGAAAATGTTGATCGGGAAGAATCTATGTTAGCTAATTGTTCATCTATAAAAATAAATAATATAGGACAAGATGATAATTCAGATGCATGTAGTGATACATCTGTGTATAATAACTCAACACAGTCAGTAACAGAAAATAAATTTTTTAAAGATACATTAAAAAATGATTCTAAAAATTCATCTAGTACTCCTAGATATAAAAAATTATTACAAACAAAGGAGAAATCATCTTTAAAAGATGAAATTAAACAAATGGATTCTATTGATACATGTAGAAAAGATCTTGATACTAATAATACTTCAGATCAAGAGGAAGAGGAAAATGCGGAATCAGCATCTATCGTGCATGATATGCTACGTGATTTATCATCGAATTATAGTATTAACAGTAAACTTAATCATGGTATGTAATAAGGTTTATCAAATTTCGTTTTATAAAATTATATGAAAATTAAATATTTTCTGAAAAAATAAGTAATTTATGATATAATATTCTTAAAAATTCGATACCATATAAAAAATGTAGTATTAATTTCATATTTGTATATAGGAAATATTTATATTTATTTACAAAATTAGTATTTTTGAAACCATATTGGAAATGCATTAGGATATTAAAATTTTATAAAATAATCTTACAGGCAAATTACATTCTACTAACAGTGGATTTTTAAATAGTACACTTAATGATTCAAATTTGGAAAAAGATGATATAAGTTCTTCTCCTGAATGTAGTACAAATCGTTCTCTTCGAAAGAGAACGTGTGATTCGATGCAAACTGATAGTAAATTCATATCAAATAGAAAGAAAAGAATTAAAAAATCATTTCGTTCCAACTCAGTTGAAATTAAAGAATCAAATAACGAAGAACCTTTATGTACCTTAAACGATAAAAAAATGGATTGTTTACAAAATAAACCACAATTGAGAAAAAAACTGTTAAATATTACAGAAGATACAAATATCCCACGAAAATCTACTAGAAAAAAGCTTATAAATAATGATCCATAAAAAAAAATTAACATTTTTCAGTATATTTTTTGTAAATTATTTTTTTTTTATTACGTACTTTGACAATTCATATATTAGTTTTTCATATTTTACTTTTAATGTTAGTTAGTAATTGATTTTTTTTTACATATATGGAGTTCAAAAATATGTAAGTAGATAGCTGCATTACATAATTTTCTGCCTTTTGACTTATTTTATACTTTGCATTAATTTATTTTGTACTTGACTTTATTGCATATTAAATATTTGATTACAAGTATATTTTTTATTTGTATTACCTAATATTAAATATAAAAGAAAACAATAATGAATACTTTTTATTTTAATATATATGCCTATAGCTTTAATTTTTTTTTTCAAATAAAATATATTAATTTAGCATAAGTAAGTATATTAGAAGAAATACAAAATTGTTTATCAAAGACACCAAATTTTATTGAATATATTGTAGTGTTTTGATCAGAAAGGAATCAACAATGGTAAAATGATGACAAACACATGAATTTTTATATTTCACTTTTGTGTAGATATTAACAATAATATAAGAAGCCTAACTTACTTAACACTAAAATAGCTGTCTTTGACATTGTTTACGCATAAAATATCTGTCTTTGTTATGTATTTTATTTCTTATACACTTTGGTATCATTTATACACTTAATTTTATGTACATTTTATATATATATATATTTTCTAATATAACTTCTTTTTTATATAATAGAACTTTGAAAGCTTCTAACATTCTAATGGAACAACTATCACATTCATAAAACATTTTATTCTTAATCTTTTCTTAAACATACTATTGTAATTTTATGAATTGTGATTTCTTTTATTACATTGAATCTTATATGTGTATTGTTTTCTTGTTTGTTTGTTTTTTTCTTTTTAAACAAATTAAGCGCAACATTTTAATAATAATGAAATCTGTAACAGTTTTAAATGAGTTGCACTAATAATTACATATTCTTTGATATTAAATATTATTCATATTTGGCAGTGTTTCTGAAACTATTTTTTGCGGAACCAAAATTTAAATTCTTTCGAATCTTATGTTATCATAAATTTCATTTTTGTAAATATTATATGTGATAACAGTTCAAATATAGTTAATTATATTATGTTCTATTACATATAACTTTGTTAAAAAACTATTAATATAATTTAATTTAGCGAATAATCAATGTATTATATACATCATATCATTTTTACTTGTATTTTAAAATTACTATATGTTATATATTCTTTAATATAATGTATTCTGTTTTACTCTTATAATGTTTACATTTCAAAAATAAATTTATTTTTAAAAATATGTTTAACGTGTTATTTTCTGACAAAATTATATATTTAGATTGTTAAAGTTTTTGATGACATTTTATTCTACACTATTTGTTAGTTTATTGATTTATGCGATTGTTTTCTGTTTAGTATTTTAATGGTTACGCATAAAAAGTTTGAGAACCACTGCTGCATGGTATGGCATCACGCGAGGTAGTTACTCAACGTTTACTACGCTTCTAAATGTATTCCAAGGAAGTTTAGTTTTCCTGTGTATAGAGACCCATGATGTTCTTAAAAAAACATAAAAACAAAAACGGTAAATGAAAGAAAAGACACGAAAGGAATATTTTAAAATGTACTAAATATTTATAACTTAATTTTTTTTTTTAATTAATCGTGTAACAAAAATTAATTGAACGAAATTTTAATACCTTTAATTTGTAGTAAGTTCTCCTGTAAATACGTAAATTAATGATAACATAAAAATGAATTAATAATTTAAGAAACTACATAAAATTGAAACTTAATGTAATATAAGTATCTGTAAGTTTACCTTTTAGGAAAATAAACTTTATAGAATGGTGATGCTTTTTTCGAAGAAGGACGCACAGTTTAAGTTCATACTGCTTAATGCCATTGTTCAATGTTGCATGGTGCTGGATATCATAAATGAAACGCCATAAATGAAAAAATCAGTTGCATAGCATGAGGTGCACACAAAAGCTTGTTTCGTTACTTAAAAATATCAAGTTTTAAAAAGTAGAGCTTTACAATTACGCAGAGTTTATACGTCTTTCTTGTCGCACCAAGCAAAAGCGGTTTATGACGCTATTTGCGTGTGCAACACTCTAAGCGTGACGCGAAAATTCAAATAGCCTTAAGTAATTTTTATTACACAGGACTCAAGTATGATACGATTAACGATTGTAGTTCATATAGTTTTTCTTTATCGTTAGTCAATATACACGAATAGTGTTGCTTCATTAAGAAACATTAGTTAACAACATTGTTGCAGTCTAAAATTTGCATATTAAATGTCACACTTTCTTCCAAATAATACATCAATTTTATTTATGTTATATGCTTATAACATTTAAAATGTTATATTTACAATAAATCGTTTATTGGGCCTACGTTATTCGAAAGAAAATGTGATATGTTAGTTTTGCGAGCATATTCTGTGATTGTAAGCATTTCTTACGCTGCGCTTCACAAGCACGTGTAGGTTATGTAGTATAATCTGCAACGATATGTGCGAAATATTCGAGTTACATTTTGTCGCCTTCAAACTTTGGGAACGTAATAGTGAAATAAAACTATGATACAGCTATGTACATAGATGCGGTGGTTCAATAACGTGACAAAGAATTTCCTTTTTATCGTCGCATATCTTTCATAGCGTTTTGATTGATTCTTTGATTACCGAGTTCGATTTATTTTTTTCACTTTATTGCATTTAAAATGATTGCTTTCATTTAAAATTCATACAATTTCGATAACATCTTTTTTCATAGACATTATATATTAGCGTAGACATTGATTGAAGAAATTCTGTACATGATTAAATGAATAGTTCGCTACTAGTTAGAATATTTATTTATAGAATTTCCACTTCAAAAGGTTATCACAATGAATCACATTGTAACGCTTTCTTGAAATTCAAGAGAATTTTAATTCAGTTACATCGGACAATCGTTAGATTGTCAAGAAGCAATTATATCGTTTCAACGAAACAGCTTTTAATGGATGTAGGATTCGAAACCGTGCATTTTGTCTCATTCAAATTTCAACTATCACGCTAAATTTAAATCCGAATAACAAGATTTTCGAATTTCGATTTTACTCGATTAAAAATTTATATTTAAGAGTTCTTCATTGTTAACGAACATGTAAAAACGCGCATTTATTTTACCTAGCAAATTGGTACGTAGCAACAAGAATCATCTCTTATAAAATTTCACCCAACATGGTCTAACTTTCACAATTTAATTTTAACAAAGGTATTTTTTCTATGATAATGGAGTATCATTCGTTAAAATTTGAAACACTTTAAACACTTTGAAGCATTTTCTCTGATATTCGCACGACGTGTATAAATATATATAAAGTTTTTACAATAATATATAGAATTTGTTATGGTTTCAAATCCTCTGGAGGATGGAGACGTTTGTCGAGAGCGAAGATTTATAAAAATATTGATACTGCATTACAACCGACGAGTATCTTTATATACTCAAACGTGGAGTTTACAATTTCTCAAGGATCAGAGTAAAAATAAAGAGCCTTATCGCATTTGTTGAATAAATATCTACATGGCAACCATACTAATCTCCTCACACCTTCGCCATTTTCTATTACCCAAAGCAGTCTTATTACTCTAAACGAACTCTAACAATGGCTCGTTTCGAAGGATAAACCGCACTGGACATTGTATTATTATCTGATCTACACGAATAACGTATTTTCTGAAATATACAGTAATTAAGTATCAGATGGAGTGTTACAACGAATGCAATTGCATTTTGATCGATCACTTGCTAATCTCACGTAGTGTATTTCGATTGCAAAACAAGGTAGTCGCGTCTAAGGCGTCGACTTTCGTAGGTTATATTTACAATCTTATTCACAATGATATTTATATATATTGCACTCGATCAACACGTCGGCTCCATTTATATTTATAAACAATTAACGCGCAAATTGTCTTTTAATAAGCTAATAAAATACGTATTGAAACAAAGTCCGAGGAACTGACGTTTGCTAACGGCATTTCATTGGATGCTGTTTTTGAAAATGGAGAAAAAGGAATTCGCTGCCGTAATGGATGTGGAAGTTTCTTCTTTTTCTATCGTTTTAATCAGGTTCTTCGATTATACACCTGATTAGCGTCACGTTGCGTTTTCTCGTCTGCTTCGTCTCAACACCGTGATACCTATGGAACCCCTTATTTTGCGCAACAGATCTATTATGTCAGCCGTTGACATGTGCTCCACGCTTTCGTCATTCACCTGAAGCAGAAGAGAAACTAATGAATAATGCATAAATAGTTGTACGACATGTTTCAAATAAAAGCAACGGAATTATTATGCACGAGATTTTAGTAATAATAGAGTTCTAAAACAAAGTATGTTTCCTCATACAACATCATATTTGTATTTTTATTATTATAATTTTTACGTTATAATTTTTAGTCACGTTATTTTTCTGCCATTGAATAATAAAAATTGCAATGAATAAAAATAATTCAGGAATATTCATTTGCATATTTATAAATAAAATTAAAAAATTCTGGTTATTTAATTATTCAGTGGTCTTTCATTCGTGTACGGTCATTTGAGAAGAGGAATGTATTAAAATGGAGAACAAAGTATTAATTAGCAATGATATTACCATCATGAGCACATCTCCTTGTTTCAATCTACCATCTTTAGCTGCAACGCTGTCAGGATGTACGACTGATATAACTGTGCGATTTCCTTCTGGTTGTAAGCTAAATCCCAGTCGACTATTCCAACCACGTGTCAGCTCTACCATGAACACCTTCGAAAACAATAATCATGGTTGTAATTAAAATACATTTTCCTTCATATAACAAATTTAATTTGCAAAATTTAAGATTACAAAGTCTCATTGGAATAATTATAATATTTTCCCTTCCTTTCTAAACAATATAATTTAAAAGATCATTCATACTGATAGTACAATTTCAGGAAAAATGGTACAAGTACAGTTCGAATTATTTTCTATACATTTCCAAGCCTCTATATGAACACATGCAATAATAATTCTCGATATCGCAAAGTTTACAAATTTTTCTTATTCAATTAATTTTTTAAATTTTCTTATTACAAATTCCTCATTTAATTAATAACAAAATAAAATTAAAAATATCACGAAGATATTAGCGTTATCTAAAGCTTTCTTAAATTAAAGATTCAAGTATTCGTGCCACCTTTACTTCGAACCTCTCATTATCACTAGAACTACCGATCTTTAGTGGGCACCTAACTATAACGTGCACAGATTATCGTAATTTCAGCGGTACGATGAATATGAGTGAATATATTGATTACAGTTCTTTCTGAACTATGAGTTGATACCAATTTTATTCTTAAATGTGCAGGTGTATGTGTTCGGTGATCGCAAAAAGGAAAATTATGGGACAGTCATTTTCTCTGGGTTGGTAGTTTTAGTGTTATCCCGTTGCACTCGATGATTTTTTGGCTAGATAAAAGTAGAAATTCAAAGACTCCCTATTAAAATACTGACGATACCTTTTTGAACAGTAAATATAGAATTGTATAATAATAGAATTGTAGAATTATTCGATTTCGATACCTCGCACACTTTTACGTTAAATTTGATATATTAATTAATATCGATCTTGCAAATTTTATGAAATGGTGACTGAAGGTCACGATCTCCCTATTTAATATAATAGTATCGATTTGCAAAGAAACAGGTTGAACGGTAACAAGGCTTCACAGCGATTCTTCGAACTCTACCTCGCTTCCTTGTTCAAGATCTTTATTGGGGACAGCTGAATCCGTGGTGTCCTTCCCGGCCTTCTCTTCGTTTCCAGCTTTATCTATTCCATCATCTGGAGCGAACATCACGCCTTTCCACTTCAACAAGCCTTTGCTGCCAGCAGGATCCTCGGCTCCCAAGATTTTCCCTGCACCGCATGTAAAATTAAATCACAACGTATGATATAAGGCTTGCAGAGCAAAAGATGAATATCGATTTTAGTTCAGCTGCACAAGCTACATTTTATCCAGGTAATCATGCTTTTTGTCAAACTCTTACGTTATTCCCTGGGATTTACCTCGTCGGTTGTTGAGAACGCGACTTTTTTGCGGAAAAATACATTCGCGTTAATTTTTGCAAGGCAAATCAGCGTATCGACGTGTCGCTCGGTTGGCAACTAGTTTCGCGGTACCACTTGCGCGTTAGAAATTTTTGTCACCATAATGAAGAGGTGTCGATTAAATTTGTATAATGTAGGAAGATTAGATAATGGGATATCGCGTGGCTCGATACATCTCGACGTAGGATAAAGATGTTTAATTATTATGCGGACTGGCTGCGTGCAAGAAACATAACTGACTGTTGTACGCGAAATCAAGGTGACTTGCTATAGTTGTAACGAGATATTGCACGTTCATATGCTATTGAAAGATAAGATATGAAACGTCACTGGTATATGATACTTTTCATTTCAGATAGGGTAGTCCAGATTTTCAATGAAATATTCAAGTATTGAAATTATTTATTCGAAAATTTTCCAATATTAACCCTTTGCACTCGACTCTCAGTCACCATTTAATCAAATTCTAAACATCATTATTAATTAATATCTCAAATTTAAAATTGCCCAACAATGCGTGGAATATGCAGGTAAAATAATTCTACGTCTTACAATTAATTTGCAACTCTTATTTACCGTTTTGAAAATATTGTCGACTTTATGGCAGAAAGTTTTCGAATTACTATGTTCTGTAACGAAAAGATCACCGAGGTGCAAAGGGTTAAATGCTTTCATTTGGCATAGGATAAATGTGAAAAGAATTTACCGATAAAATGATAGATAAAAATTTTATGCTAATTTGTATTAGAAGCATTGATTCATTTGTACGAACGAGATTTATAATTAAGTAAACAGATATGTAACTATATTTGCAATCGAAAGGATATAAATTAAAAAAATTGAGAAATATCGAGAATACGTTAAAACTTTGATTATTCAAATAAAAATTTTCCTATTACTTAAAATATAGTCTATAATAATAAAAGAAAAATAGAAATTAATTATGCGAGAGGAATCTTTATTTGGATGGTGTCACCCTGTATCGAGATCTATCCTTGCTTCGAGGAATTTATAACTTAACAGCTTAATTTTCGAAACTGAGTCGAGTGACGTCATGGGTTGTCATAGAAAAATAAAAACCTTGCCGAAGGGTTTGACAGGACACACTTTTTGACAGTCCACTGTGTGCACTACTGCAATACGTATCATAGAAGAGACTTCGAGCCTTCCTTTGTTTTATACCACCAAGAAATTTAATTCTGATTATATTTTATATTTCTTCTGATTCTAATCAGAATCAAAAGTTCCTCTTGATTTATTAATCCGACCTTACCACAATTAATTAACTCTTTCACCCTAACCCCTTACAGGTGACTATAGTCACCGGCCACAGAAATGAAGTAAAAAATTAAGACAAGTGTTACCGTTCCTCTTAGCTCTCTTCTCAAAGAATTGCAAGCTCTATTGCGATGGTCAGTTTTCCCTTTTATTTTTCTCTTCGAAAGATTTGCGTGAAAAGAGCGAATGCTAAAGACTGCACGATCGTAACGTTTCCATCTTTGGCAAATTACATACATTGCGGCACTGTCAAAAAATACCGTTCTCCTTCGATCCTCGAAGACGCTTCATTTCACATCTTTATCCTCGTCAAAAAGAAAGCATCGATAACCAAATCACTGTCAAAAACAGCTCATCTCCATTAACTCTTTTTCAATAGCGCTACCTCAAACTTAAACCAGTTCCAATAAAATCAACCCACTCCGAAATCGATACCAAGAACTCACAAATGCAATCAAACAGATTCAACCCTAATCCTTTCAACAAGGACCCCAATAAAACCCCTCGTCCCATTCCCTCACCCCGCTGCGACGACCTTATTCCCTGAACCGTATCAGACCCAACCATTAAACCAGCTTCTCTCCCCAAAAATACCCAACCTAACGCCAAAGCTACTCCCGATTCACGCTCGTCAAAGAACGAAGCATTGCTGAACTTTCCCAAGGATAACTAACTTCCTAGCTATTAGGGTGTCCCATAAGTTCTTTCCGCGCCACGCTATGTATGTCCTCGAGCCGGCTACGTTTGTTAACCGTTTGAGTGCCACGGGTCATAATTGTTTCCCAATCGATATTTGCCAAGCGGCGCGATAGCGCTTGTCATATTCCGTGTCCCGAAATACCGAGCGGCGCGATAGCGCTTCTCATATTCCGCGTTCACCAACCGAGCGCGCTGATTGTCAGCTTCGCAGCTCAGGGCGTTGGCACTTTTGGACACAAAATAGAAGAAGCGCGATCGCGCCGCTTGGCACTGAAACGGTTAACAGGCAGACTTATCTATTGTCCATTTATGAAATCGATTTCAGTCGTCTCACAGCTCTTTCAAAGTGCGTTTCGTTGGTGACAAAGTCTCTTTTAAAATCTTTTTCTACGCCGTTCAATATGGATAGCCAAAAGAAGCATTTGCGACATGTTATACTTCACTGCTTTAAAAATGGTAATAGTGCAAAGGACACTGTTGACGAGATTTGCACCGTTTATGGGAGTGGTACTACGACTATTAGAACCGTCCGCAATTCGTTTAAGGAATTTAGAGCTGGTAATTTTGATTCGAAAGATGAAGACCGCAGCGGCCGCTCAGCAATCACGGATACGGACCTTACCAATTTTGCAAATAGGCCTCAACAATTTTGGAAAGAGGGCTTAATGAGGCTTCCTGATAGATGGGAGAAGGTAACAGAGCAAAACGGTTCGTATATAGCACAGTAAATCAACCTTAAACAACAAATATCGTCTATTAATTTCGCATTAGAAAATAGGAAGAAACTTATGGGACAGCCTAATACTTTCGATAGTAAATTCGGCTAAATTCGTTTAGCAAAGAATGGAACATCGCTGAACCTGGTATGTCCTGGTCGCTGGAGTGGGTAGCCTTATTTTTCGCCACGGTGTCTATTCCGGTGCAGCAGGCCGGATTGGCGCTCTGATAAGCTGGGTTCTTGTAGCTGAAGGCTGCGGCGCTGGAGCTGCTCGTGGAGGAGAGTACAGGTGGCATGGATGCCGGTTCCGAGGGCAGATCGTTGTCGTGCTCGTTGCTGGACAACACGGTCACGTCCCTTCGCTCGTAATCGGCCTCCTTGCTCTTGAACTCGTCCTCGATGATGATGGTCTCGTCGCCACCAGGGTACTCCAGGTCCGAGTCCAGGTTGCAGAACTGGAAATGTGGCTTGCCCTGTGGCGCCGACAAGTCGAGGAAACTCGGTCGCGCCGGTGTCTTGGAGGAATCGCTGGAGTCGCAGACGTCGTACAGCGGCGGTGGATCGATTATGTCAGTTCCAGGTGTGTTTGGCTGGGAATTCGTTATCTGCGTCCTGATCGAGCACTGGTCGGAATCGGATGTCTCTGCCTGGCTGGCCGTCGATGTCGTGTGCACGCTCGGATGCTTCTCCAGAGTTTCTGCAAGGATGGATATCTCTCTTAGACCATGCTTTTTCAGTTATTGGATCCAGGGACAGACCCCCTACTCCCACAGCTTTTTATGCTGATGAGCACTTTGGCTCCGCGTGTTTTTTCGTATTCCGCCAACCGATGGTGCATAGGTTTTATTCGCTCGCCGTTTAGAGCGACACGAGCTTCGATACGGGCCTTTGACCGAGGATCGTTTATACGGAGTTATCTAGTGGTTTGAACGAATTTTATTTTCGACTAGTATCGATCATTTGTGTACCGGTTATGCTTATGTACATGGAGTTAAAGGACGTTTGAGGGATTTTGGGCTGGTGAGATGGAGACGTTATATGAGGATAGGAGATGTCTAGCGATCGGTTGGATGGATAGTGATGGGATAGTGAGTTGAAATTTAATTTCGAATTAGTAATTATAGGGGTACGGATATATATACTTGTATCTGACTTATTATTATGTAATAATATATATTGCTTTTTAATATGTATTTAATTTACGAACAGGGTAATTGTAATTTAATATGTACCTGTTGATTGTGGTAATATTGATTATTGTAGTAATACTTGAGTGTTATAATCCATGTATTGATTATTTTATATAATTTTATTTTGGACTGGTATCGATCATTTGTGTACCGGTTATGCTTATGTATATGGAGTTAAAGGACGTTTGAGGGATTTTGGGCTGGTGAGATGGAGACGTTATTTGAGGATAGGAGATGACTAGCGATGGGTTGGCTGGATAGTGATGGGATAGTAAGTTGAAATTTAATTTCGAATTAGTAATTATTGGGTAGGGCAATTAATTACACTGTCTAACGAACTTTAACTTTGTCTCTAATCTGTGATATCCAATACGTGATTCTCGTAGAGCTTACTTTTTTGAACACGAATCCATAATCGAGATTGCTCTATCACCTACAATTTTCGAAACATGTGAGTTTTTCTAGAAAGAGACAATTTTTGTTTCAAATAAAGTATTACGTAAAAACATGTATAAATTAACAAATTTGTTATTAACAAGAAATTGTTCACAACGTAAATTTATAATACAAGTGGAAAAATGACTAAATTATAAGCTATTACTAGTATATATAACGTATTTGCGTGAAAATGTATCTATAATTAGCAAAAAATTAATAAATTGCTACATTTATTGTTAATAACAAATATTTTGCAACGTATATTAACTATAAAAGTCAAAAAAGTTAATAAATTATTAGCTACTACTTAAAGAAACTACGTATTTGCCTTAAAATGTATTCATAACTTACAAAAAGCTAATAAATTAATAAATTTAGTGTTAATAACAAATTAAAATTGTAGATAACAAATAGTTTGCAACGTATATTAACTATAAAAGTCAAAAAAGTTAATAAATTATTAGCTACTACTTAAACAAACGACGTATTT